TTATTCTTTTTTTTCTTTTTTTTAAACCTAATGAGGAACACAAAATGGTTATGTCAGTTTTTTCAAGTTTTTCTTTTTGTAGAGTGAGATGCACATTGCTCCTTACTGGGTTTCATTCTGAAGAACATCCATGCAGACAACCAGAGCATCCAGCCCTGTTGAACACGAGTTAAGGAATGCAAACGGTATAAAAAGAGAGGTTTAACACCTCGGCGCCAACCTGCATTGATGATGTTATGTCTGTGAAGCTGGCTGAAATTCAGGTATAAACTTTTTCTCTAATTTCATTTTCCTCAATGATTTTTTTTTTTTTTTTCTGATTTAAAACAATTTAATGTATTAAGAAAAAAAAAGAAAAAAAAAAAAGGCTATCCCACCCTGATGAGGAGAGGTTATTCCCTGCTAAACATAATAACTGGCTGTGCTAATCCTGGCTGCAACAAGTGATATAAAATGTTTTGAGGAGTCTTTACAGCTCTGTGGAGAATCTAATCCAGTGATACTAGAGAGTTATTCCAGGTATAACAAGTCGATTTAAGGTCATAAAATAACAACTTGAGCTAAGTTGGGTCTGGATTTTGACCAGGCTACTTAAAAACAATAGTTTTGTCTATTCTGATCCAAGTTAACCTGATTATGTGCATTGTTTAGCTGGATGTGACCTGATGATCAGATTAACCATCAGTATAATCTGCCAAAGAGCAGAATCCTAGGCGAGCAATGATGGCCCCTTATCTCGCACATGAAAGCAGAGAGGTAGCCCCAGACCTTTACATGACACCACTATAGTGTTTGTCTGACTGCAGAATAGTTGCCAAATGTCTTTAAAATCCTCAAGATGTTTTTGAATTTCTATGGGCCAGTTATTTTTTCTCAGCACTGTAACCTTCTGAGAAACCCCAGAAGGTTCCAGTAGCCCTATTGCTATTTCCAATAGCAATAGGGCTTACAAATTATCAAAAACATTTTAATCTTTTAAGCTCCATCTTGAACATGTAATCTTTTACAATATTTTCCTGTCAGGCACCGTTGAAACAAAGGATACAGTCAGCCTGTTGATTCTCAGGGTGGATCTGATGTTCAATCTCCTCCAGCAATTCAAAGTCTGGCACCATAAGATGCCGATGCACCTTGATGTTCTGGTACTGCCCATCCTGGCTCAGAGAGTTTTTGGTAGAATCGGTGCCAAACAGAACCAAAGCCAGTTCATCCTTAGTCTCTGCAAAAACCTGCCCAATAAAGACAGATAGGAAGCTTGTTTTAAGGATGCTGAATAAGCATGTTCAGGTTAACTGACCGTGCTTCTGTACCTGGCGCTGGACAAACTTCTGGATGACTTTCTTAGCCATGGCAAAGGGAGGTTCTTCCCCAGGGGATGAGTTGGACATGGAGAAGCCCACATCCATGCAGAGCACCAGGGCTGACTGCAGAGCAAACAAAACAGGTCTCATTAAAAAGTGTTCACCTTTTTAACAAACCTACTTTTGCAGAATAAGTTTCAATATTAGGTCACTAGAGTGCCAATAATAAATGCTGTACTTCCTCTCAATCAGTTAGATATAAACCTGAGCTAAGACAAACTGTTTTTTTCTCCAAACAATACCGAAACTTTTTATTTATCTCAATATTTTTAACTATATTTAGACTTGTTAAAAAAATCTAAATCTTATATTTTTACAATAAGCAGGATCTGTGCCGAGAGCCGTGACAATAGACTGAATGGGACATGCCTCAACATGAACAGACTAACACACAAACAAGCAGCTTTAACCTTTACAAACAGCGAAAACAAACAAAAAGTAATTTAAAAAAAACTTATTTTAAAACGTGTTCCCTATAACTACATATTCAACACCAGTTTCGAGAGCATTAACATGTATTAATATAAAAATAACTCACCTTTGCTCCTGCCATCCTCCTTGGTTTTTCCCTCTTCTACCGGGGTTGTCACCGTGTTATTACTCCGGACAGAAACAATAGCTGGCTGCTCAGTTCCTAGCTACCGTGTAAATTCTTCCTTTAATGATTTGGACGATTTCACTTTTGCGTTTGGTCGCAAAATATTATACATATACTTAAGGAAACATGTCATTTTGATTATAATAATAATATTGAGCACGTTCCCCCAGTTTCGACTGAAACTCCGATGTAAATGAAGCGCCCTCTTGCGTTTCGTGTTGTTCTCTACGCTTTGCTCTACTGAAGTAAAAAACGTGACCTGGGAGTTCACTTTATAAAGGCTTTTAAATAAATAAACGCAAGCCAGTAAAAGCAGAAAAATAGTAAAAAAAAAGATTATAATAATTTCCTAAGTAAGCATGAAAGCATCAACTTAACGATAAACTGATTCAAAGTGTATTAAGTTCTAAAACATTTATGTTTTCAAATAAAGTGGATCTTTGTTGGATTTTACAATATAAGGAATAAAAAAGTATTTGTGTCCTTATTTTTTTTTAGAAAATTCTCTGCAGACATTAAGAAATATTGAGTCACTTTTTTCCATCTGTTAAATTAATAGCTGATTTCCAATTATAGGAAACACCATTTAGTTACGAAATATTGCAGCCAACTCTATTAAGAAAATCACTCCTGTTGCAGATTTGTATTAAATTAAAATATGTTAAAGGTTAAGTGAAATGAAATGTCATTCAAGAAGTTATTCAAAATGATAAAAACATGAATTAAACATTATTGCTAAAAGGTCTACTAAATCATAATACAAAGAAATGTACCTAGACAGATAGGTTTACATTAAAATTCTGGTATTTTAAGACTTAATACTAATGATTTAATAAATGCTTATTTTGTGATTTTGTTTAATTGCAAAGTGAATGTTTTAGGTGGGCAGCAAGGTGGTGCAGTGGAGAGCACTGTTGCCTTTCAGCAATTCTTTCTGCATGGAGTTTGCATGTTCTCCCTCTTGGGGGTGGGTTCTCTCAGGGTACTTTAGCTTCCTCCCACAATCCAAATATATGACTGTTGATTTAATTGGCATCTCTAAATAGTCCTTAGGTGTGTGTGCATGGTTGTAGGTGTCTCTGTTTGTCTCTGACAGACTGACAGTCTGGCGACCTGTCCAGGGTGTATCCCGCCTTGATATATATATAGAAATGATAGAAAATAAAATTTTAATAGAGAAGATTATGTGTAGAAGAAATGTTTTAATATAAAATGTAGGGATGTTACTGTCTGCGATGGACTGGCGAACTGTCCAGGGTGTACCCTGCCTCTCGCCTTTAGACACCTGGAGATAGGCACCAGCACCCCTCGCGACCCTGCTTGGGATAAGCGTGATGGAAAATGGATGGATGGATGAATGAATGGATGTTACTGTATCAGGTGTGTTTTTGGATTAAAACATCTTTGCTCTTTAATCACTGATATTAGTGCATAAAGTAGCCAGACATTGTACTGAGGTATTAGTATTGACACCTCAAAATAATAGTATGTAAGGTAAAAGTACAAAGTGAAGAGCAGGAAACCTACATCTAGAAGTAAATGTTTACTAAAGCAGAGGTAACTGAGGTTGTAACTAGTTTCTACCCACCTCCTGTTCTCACACTGGTGCCCTGCAGCAAGAACATTCTGGGTTCATATTGCAGCTGTGTTGTCTATGTGTGGTGTTTGTAAAACTTTCGTCAGTTATTGTGAAATATTAGCTCATTAAATAAGTTAATAAGAATGATAATGGCCAAAAAGTTCACTAATTCTACATTTTTGGTTTTACCATCGCATCACAGCTACCTCCATTGGAAAACATGGACTTTAGCTTAATTCTTAATTTGTTTTGGGGTTGTTTTTTTTTGCTCTTGCTCATTTTCTGTGTATTGATGAATATGGTGTTTTGTTTTGTTTTTTGGTATGGTTGTAATTATCTGAGTTGAATAAGTAGTTCTTTATTGATAATGGGGGCAGATATAAGTTTTTTACTTCTTTCTGCTCCCTTTCACTAATGATTTTCAGAATTTCAGATTCCAGAATTTCCCCATTGTGGGACAATAAAGGGATTTTCTATTTTATTCTATTCTGTTCTGTTATATTCTATTGATTTCAGTTTTCACCTGCACAGGTTTTACGTTGTTTTATTTTAATTAATTAATAAAAAAAAAAAACTCATTAATTAATTAACTTCTCTGAATTCCTCCTAGGTTTGAGCAATATCTACGGCTGATTGTTTTGTCTTACTCTACATTACTGCTAATAACCTGGAGTCCTGTCCAAGGTATAAAACAACCTCTTGCCTTTTGACTGCTTGACTTTGTGCTTCACAAAGGTATTCACACCCCTCAAACATTTTCTTAGCTGTGCCACACCCACAAACTGCAATGTTTGTTATTCAAATCTAATAAGACAGACCAATATAAAGAGACTTAGATGCAGCTGCTCAACTGAGGAAACCCACTCCATGTGTTGTAGAGGTAATCCTAAAATCACATAAAATTTCATTCTCTGTGAAAAAGCAGGAAGTTGCTGATCTTTGTGTTCTTTTGCACAAACTATTGCTCTTTGGTTAGTATATTTTCTGTTGTTCCCATTTATTTAATCTTTGTTAAAATACCAGTGTCAGTTGACGAAGTCAGTGTAACACTGCTGTGCTAATTGTCTGATCTCAAAATGTGGAGTCACAGGTTATTGCCTTTGTGAATACATGCATCCATCCATTAATTAATCCTTGCATGCTGGTTCCCTTCAACAGCGATCAATAGGCTGGGGAGGTTCCTGATCGATCACATGGTTACATAAAAATATGCGGGACAAGCATAAAAGCAGACAGATGCCGCCTCTTGAGGGCAATTTAGAGTGGCCACTTTACCCAACATGAAGCCAAACATCGAGTGGGGTAATAGAAGCATCATCTAGCCTAGATTTGAACCCAGGCCTTACAGCTCACTTAACATTACATGAAAACACCGAAAATAAGATCTGATCATAATTTTCTATTTTACAGCTAGAGTAAGGTGTATAGATTCATTTAATGTTCCACAATTAAAAATGTTGTAATGCATCTTTTTTTTTTATTGTTTTGCAATGCGTGGATTATCAACAGTAATGTGGAAAACAGATTAATTCCCAAACCACATACATGTTTTTCTTTGTAAACAAAAACAACACACTCAGATAGAGATCGTTCATAGATAAAGATTCCTAAACACTTTAACATTCGTCTCACCAACCATTTAAATCACCCGATTCATCTAAAGCGAATTCTTCATTATGTCAAAGTGCCAGAGTATAAAACACATACAGTAGCTTCAACATTTGTGAGAGGATAACAGAAATCAATGATGAGGATGAAGGGATGACATAAAGAATAAATATTTAGGAATCTGACCAAATTCCTGACTAGAAAGCTACAAATATTTTAACAAAAAAAAAGCATAATGAGGTTCGGGTGACACAGTTTATTTGATGGAGCTTAAACAGGATGGCAATGTGATAATGAAAGGTAATACTTAGCTCTGACCAGTGACTGATGGGTCTGAAACTAAAAAAAAAATGTTTTTTTGTCCTCCTCAGCCAAAACTAAATTAAAACCTTCCTAATGTTCCAATGTCTAACCCTTTAATAAACAAGTAAAAAATAAATGTATGTTTAAATGGGATTTGTCATGTAGCATCCCTTTTTAAATTGGATTCAATGTAAGTCTAATAGTCAAGGAATCCTTTGCAGTTTTCTTTAATTTAACGGTTGACTCTATGTTTCTTTTAATCCATGAATGCAAATGAGGTCCACACTAATTAATGTGTATACGTTAAATTCAATGGAAAGAAAACAGAATTGAAAAATACAAATATAATAGCTTGACCTTACAATTGCTTTCGGCTTTATCAGACTAAGTTATCAAATCAAGGGGGGAGTGGTTGGGGCATGGAGCTTGGTATCCTGAGGTTGTGAGTTACAAACCTACTCCCACAGAATGCCACTTAGGCTCCGTAATGCCAGACTGCTACCCAAAGGGATGGGTTAAATGAGTGAATTCCGTTGCACTGTATTTATGACAGTGTAATGACAATAAAAATGCTGGACAAAAATAAATAAATAAATAAAATGGATCGTCAAAACAGTCTTTAAGCATTTAGAATCCAATCCAGTCATGTTCTTGGAAATGTACTTTCTAAAAATGAAGCAAGTTTTACATTTTAAATACTATTAGGAACTAAAGACACCCTCCGTATCTGTTCGAGCCTTGAAATTGATTTCAATATTACCAATATTTACCTTTTTCTAATAATGCAAAATAATTCAAAATATATATTGTATTATTCAATACCATTTCATTACATAAATAAACCGGTAAATGTAAAATTACACAGGTGAACCTTCATCAGACTCTATGCATAGAATGGTTTTGTTATGCTGCAACAAAAATATTTTAACTGATGAATTAACACAACCTTTAATTAAAGCTATGATGCTAAAAGGACTCTTAGAAAACCAGCAAAAACACGGCTGCAGCTTTGTTTTCTTGCTTTCATTTTTTTTTTTTTATAGGATTGACGACCAAAGACAAATGACACACAATGGATAACCGGTGTTGGAAAACTGCCTCCTTATAAGGCAATGTAGTTTCAGTCGATAATGTGTTAACAGAGTGTTTTGATCTCCAACATCTGAGTCTTTGCAGCAGCTTCACAAACGAATGGAAGCTGCTGTGGAGGTTAATGCTTTTTCTGACACCGTTTCACAGCGATCCCAAATGTCCACTAAAGATATTTACAGAAAAAGGAGAAGCTTGGATGTGATGTACAGTTTTTGGTGTTACTGGATCTCCACAAGCCAAGGCCAAGCTGTAGTGAAAGGTCTCTGAGATCTGTTTAGTAATCCCTGGAAGCTGTTTAGTGACATAACTTGTAAACATAAAAACTGACCCCTGATCCCCGAATACGCTCATAGTAAATAAGGGTAAAAATTATTCAGCACCTAAAGACAGTTCAGGCAGTGGATACTGAGTTCTACTTTGCAGGAAAGTGTAACAAAATAGTTTTCAAACCTTTTTCACATGATTGTTTTGTCTTTTTTTTTATTTAATAAAAATAATCTTAATAATGGAAATTATTAAATAATGGAAAAGAGGTTAGGAATTTTGCAAAAATTACAATTTTACAAAATCCCAAAATAAATCTATTTGAACAAATTCAATTTTTCAGGTGCTTGTTTTGAAACTGAAATAAAAATTTAAGAGGACATCGGCACAAGATGCCGACAGAAACACAAGAAACACAATGCCCTGCAAAAGTGTTCAAATATCTCAAATCTTTTCAACTTTTGTCAAATAACAACCACAAACATTAATGTATTTTAACTAATGCTTTAGACAGTATTTATATATATATATAAATTTGAAAGTATGATAAGCATGTCAATTCTTCACTGTTTACTGCAATAAATAAGATTGTAACCAGAAGCCCTGGTCTGTTCTTGTGGAGTTAGTTTACCATAATCTTTTCATACATAGAAAGTACTTATAGATCAGTGCTTCTGCGCTCCGCTTGTAGTGTATGTCTACTTCTGTCACCCTGAACCCCCAATCAGCCCTAGCATACGGCTGCTCACACTGAGCCTGCTTCTGCTGGAGGATTCTTCTTATTTACCTGGAGTTTTTTTCTCTCCACTGTCGCTACGTGCATGCTTGGTGTGAAGGGCTACTGTTTACTCAATGCAATTAGCTGATTTTAATTTGACAGAAAATGTTTACCAGTCGGATCTGATTTAATAATCTCTGGAAAGTGCCTTTAGATGACAGGTGTTGTGGATTGGCGCTATATAAAAAAAAGACAAACAGTATGAAGGTCAAGGGACATTGGTAAAAAAAAAGCTCAGAATCATAAAGCAGGTCTAGATTATAAAACACCCAAACCTTGAGCACCTTGTAGAACACTGTCTGGTTCATTACTTGAGCAGGGAAATAGTACAGTAGAAAACCTAGAGAAGAATGTTAACTCTGGAGAAACTGCTTCTCAAGATGTGCAAAACCTGTCAAGATATACTAAAACTTGTCTGCAGCTTTAAGTGCATAAAGGTACTCATATGTTGATTTATCACATATGACACCAACAGAATACATTGAAGCTTGTGGTTGCAACCTGACAAAGTGTGAAAAGACCCAATGAATATCATTACCAGGCACAATGTGCCATGAAATCAGCATCCGCTTCTTCAAACTGATGATGTCTGAGCGATTTCACTGGGCGCCTTGCTCTGCAGAGTCCCAGAAACCGTGTCTGAGTCTAGTAGCTCCACAATGCTGTAAGGTGAGCAGTCCTCCAGCCCCAACTTCCCACAAGCCCAGCCACAAAAGCCTTTCTCCAGGTCTCGCACCACCTGCCACCACTCACTGAAGGCCCAGGACACCTGCACCACGGCTGAGTACAGAGCCAGAGACAGCGCCACTGGCATAATGAGCACAGGGTAGAAGATGATGAGAAAGGGGCAAATGGTAATCTTGTGCCAGAACGTCCGCTCCTCGTTGTACACTAGGAAGACATTGTACCAGGTGAGCGTGCCGTAGTAGAAGGAGGTGATGAAGGAAAGGAGAAAAACCACAGGAGCGCAGGAGATGGTCCACAGCACTACGTGGGGTCCCTGGCACACTCCTAAGGTACAGTTGCGTTTGGACCCTTCTCCGGCCTCGCACTCTGCATTGAGACGCTCCTTGGACTTGGCCAGATCCCTGATTTCCCTCTCTGTCAAAGTCACATGTATATCCACCACCTGACCCTTCTTCTTTCCTCTTGTGATAGTGCCAGTAAGCGTGACATACCGGCTGTCTGGAGGCAGGTTCCAGTCTCCTCCTGTTTAGAGATAAAAGTGATTAACAACAGTCCTTTGATTGATCTTTACTTTAGCACAAGTTAGTAAAAGATTAAAAAAAGTTTATTTGTTTTATAATAACAAGTAAATTAAGAAATGCTATAAAAAACATTTCAGACATACAGACTTAATCAAATTAAACATAGAAAAAAAAAGGTTCAGATTGTTGTCTACTCTTATATTTCCAGATTTGTCTCTCAACATTTGGACCTCTGTTGCATTTAAAAACAGAGTTACTTTTAGATGTGCATATTGATAAAAACAGATTTTAAATAAAAAATGAAATACAGAAAAGTATTGCATGTTTAGGACTGAGCTTATTTGTAAGTATAAGGTTGCAGGAAATAAAAACTGTATGGTACAAAAACTGACACCATATATTTTAAATTACCGGTAGCCAAGTTCTCAATATGTTTTAAACATAAACCAAATACAAGACAGTATTTTAAGAGGAAAAAGAACAAAAGTGCCTCATTATTATTATTTTTATTTAGGTATTTTCACTTATTTTTTCTGTTTATTTGTTAATCAGGTTGTGGAGAAAACAGGTTCAGAAAGTCGTAGATCTCTCCCCAAACACACCTTGCAACTCACTGTTTGGAATCCCAAAGCTTTGGGAAACGTAGTCCCTCCTGCTCTGGGAGGTACCAGAAAAACATTGTTTTAATGTTGATTCTCAGCTCCATCATTGAATTTCTAACATTATATTTGTTCCTTTGCCTATTTCTTCAAATGTATCTTTTATGTTGAAACTAAGGTTAGCCATTTTTCATCAAAAGACTACCCTGGAACTCTCAATTAGGCTGTTTTTATTCCTCCTTTAAGACCAGGAAGAGGCTTAATGTAACCACTTTAATGCCAGTGTTGGACTATATCAATATATTATACATGCACTCATTAGCTTAGAGTTTGAGGGCTCCATCATGGAGCTCTGAGCTTTACCACCAGCCTCAGAGCTCTTTCACATTACTGTGTGTTTTATGTCCTGCTGGCTGGCCTTCTGGCATCCCACAGGCTTTAGCATTGGTATTTATTTATTTATAAATGTTTACTTGGTCAGCTTCCTTATTCATTACAAATGTATATTCTCTATAATTGTACTGGTTCCTTTTAGATTCGTTCTGTTGACCTATTTTATTGTCAGAGGCAAAGGTCTGATCTGAGCTGGGAAAGAAGAGTTTTCAGTTTGCTGCTCCTGCATTGGACCTTCTACGTAACGACTGAAATCTGAGGGAGCTGGTCCCGTGAGAATTTTTAAAAGACATTTTAAAAGACACAAATG